ATCATTCTACCCAACAGTGTTTATAACTTAGCACGTGAGAACTTTGTCATAATCACTTACCCCATCCTCAGGTTTGTCTAGTTTTAAGCTTCAGAACAGTTTCAGAACAGAACAGAATAACAGAGTTGGAAGGGACCTTGGAGGTCTTCTAGTCCAACCCCCTGCTCAGGCAGGAAACCCTACACCACTTCAGACAAATGGTTATCCAATCTCTTCTTTAAAACTTCCGGTGTTGGATCATTCACAACTTCTGGAGGCAGGTTGTTCCACTGGTTCATTGTTCTCTATGTCAGGAAATTTCTCCTTAGTTGTAAGTTGATTCACTCCTTGGTTAGTTTCCACTCATTGCTTCTTGTCCTGCTCTTGGGTGCTTTGGAGAATAGCTTGACTCCCTCTTCTTTGTGGCAGCCCCTGAGATATTGGAAGACTGCTATCATGTCTCCCCTAGTCCTTCTTTTCATCAAACTAGACATACCCAGTTCCTGCAACCGTTCTTCATACGTTTTACCCTCCAGTCCCCTAATCCTCTTTGTTGCTCTTCTCTGCACTCTTTCTAGAGTCTCCACATCTTTTTTTTTTCATATTGTGGTAACCAAAACTGGATGCAGGATTCCAAGGGTGGTCTTGTCCCATCCCAGAACTGAAACAGGACAGAGCTCTGTTTCCACGTGATTCTACCAGTGGGAAACACTCAGCTGCTACATGAAGGGGGAAAAAATGGGAAATTCAGTCAATGTGACACTTCCTACCTCAATGGGAGCAACAGGCTGGCCGCCCAACTTAAAGCAAAGAGACTCATCTGCGCCCAAATCGTTTCTGAGAAAGGCTGTTGTGCCAGTTTGCCAAAGCACACCCGGTCGAAATCTTTGCCTACATCAACGTCTGAGTCATCATAAATCTGTTAGTCTGCTCATATGATTTTCGGTCACACCAAAACTATAATTAGTGAAGTGCGAAGGAAAACACAATTGAAGTGTTTTCTTCAGTGCTTCATGAAGCACAAGGTAGTTATTTCCTACAGTATTTTTATGTAAGAGGTGGAAAAAAAAAGTGTTGCTGTTTTTAAGATTGTTCCAGAAAAAGTCTTAAAAAAAAAAAAAGTTACATAATCATAATGGATTTTTATTTAATGCTGATTTGAAAAAAAAAATGATACGAAGAGACCGATAATGTACATTTTTGAATGCAATGGCTTTTAGGAAGGTCTCTGGTAGCTAATCTGATCTTTTGATACAGAAACAACTGCATTGCATCAAATTACACAACTTGTACAATTTGCTAATACACTCTGTGATCAGGTTATCATTGCAAATATTTGCCTATTTGCATGCATGACATGAAACTTGGTGGATGAGAAGGCTCTCTAAAAACCTTGCCCAAATCCAGGTTTCTGGATTAAGGCAACACACTCTCGGCATCTACAAAATTGCATCGTTTGGTTTTTCTAGAGCCGAAATAGATTTGAGGCACAGCAAACTGGTGTTGATACAAAAGTGTTTTGGAAGCAATCTGTGATGTGACTGGAAGCATCTTGCAGTATGAAAATAAAAATGGGAAAATTTGCCTGAACACGATTCTCATCTGAATCACTTCATAAATGCGGTACCAACCAGTACAGATTTATTATTAATGGATCAAAGTGATGTAAACTTGCAATTAGTAAGGGAAAAAAAGTGGCAGAGGGAAAGAATAAGAAAATTAAGAGTTGGAGATAATATAAAACTAGTATGCTTTGGGGGAATACCCTGCTTTGGAGATAATATAAAACTGGTATGCTTTGGGGGAATACCAAGGAAATAATGAGAATGAGAATACACCTTTCTCATTGCTATGGAATAGTTCAGAATTCCCTATCTGAATTCTTGCCAACCTGCACAACAGTCAAAACAAACTGATTTTATTTATATAATATACAATATCTCCTCTGTAGTTGAGGCTATAAAATCAGAGCAGCAGAAACCTAGCCAGCCACTAGGTGGCAGCCATAGATTTTGCACTTTGTCACCATCTACTGGTCACATAGAGTTGTGCAGCTGTTCGCTTTGTTTTTAGCTAAAATTCTCCGGCATGTAATTGTAATACATTTCAGAAAATTCAATGCCCTCCCTGGAGGCTTATGCCCACCCTGGAGAAACTCAGCTTATTCTCTAGGGGTTACCACCATAGGTTAAAAAAAAAAACCACCAGCTGTTATAACAGAAATACGTCAGTTTAACTAAGAGTCATGCAAGACGAATGGGACCAAAAGCGACATTTTGAATCTCAACGAAGCCCAACTGTGTTTCCAAAGTTAGCTACGAATAGGGAAGCGATTGTTGTGGCATCCCCGCGATCATGTGACCCAAAAATCCAGATGCTTAGTGATTGACTCATATGTATGACCGTTATTGCTGTGTTCCGGGGGTCTTGTGATCCCCTACTAACTGTAGGGGATCACAAGACATACTAACTGTAGTTAGATACATACTAACTGTAGTTACTATGGTAGTTGTCTCACGTTATCTAAGACAGGGGTCTCCAACCTTGGCAACTTTAAGACTTGTGGACTTCAACTCCCAGAATTCCTCAGCCAGCAAGCTGAGGAGACCCCTGATCTGAGACTGAAGAATGCTATTCATTGGTCTTGAACTGGAAACATTGTTAGATAAGCTCCATTTATGGTCCTGTGTCTTCTCAGAGGGTTCTCCAGTGGGCATCTCTTGGGGAGGAAAAAAGGACTTGCCAAATTGAAGGTTTCCACTCATCCAAACACAACATCATCACCCATTGCTCTGGTCTGGGTTAAGTGGCAGAAAAAACTGGCAAACGGGATGATTTTCAGATGTTGCAGGAAGAGAGACTTTCGTAACGTGGAAGGAATACGAGTAGCCTCCTGCCCGGCGACAGTGAATGTGCTACACACTTAACCACTATGCTACTCTCGTTTCAGGACACGCTTTTCTGACCGGCGGGGGGGGTGAGGGTGGGCAGCCTGTCAGGCTTGGAAGCCATCTTTTGTATTAGGCCTTCAGACCAGCCACGTTTACTACTGTGGGAAATTGGGAGGGGGGATTGTATGGAGCACGGGTGATATGTAGTCATAACAACATTCCTTTCTCAAGAAGTCAAGGACAACTTGCCCTGCACTTGGAACTGGCTGGAACTGGGAGGCTTCCCCAGTGGGAATGATGCTTGATTGGACCATGTGATGGACTTGTGGGTGCTGGTCAGGGACTTGAACTTTCCATTGGGTGGGGAAAACCTGGAAACTTTCAGATTTGGGTTTTCCCAGATGTTGCCAATATGGCATCTCTAGTAAAATCGAACTTTGAGGAAACTCAAGCCTCTGAGTTTTTTTTCGTTGGGCTTGTTATTTGGAACCCTGACAGAGGGAAAGTTCTTGAAACTGGTCAGTGGCACCCTCTCCCCACAGACGCCCATTGGTGGCAGAGTACAAGCGCATCATTGCACAAATGATAGGATTGACCTCCTGGTTATCGGACGTAATGGCGAGATTGTTAGGCCAATGGAAGTAATTGTGCCACATATATAATGTGATGCACGGAGAGCCATTCTGACATCATTGTGGCCAGGAGTAAATTACTCACAGATAAAGCCATCGGACAATGACTCAGTGCAAAAAAAAAAAAATTAAGTGTTCCTGCACACTCAAGAAATCCAGAGTAAGTTTTTGGCCAGGCGCAACGTAGAACTAGGAAATAGCTCTGGTGCTTGTCCACATAATTAAGCACTTCAGATATCAAAGGCCCTGTGAATCCTTCTAGCATGGGGCCAAGAGGTCCAGGGTTGGAACGAATCTAGTAAGACGTAGTATCTGCTGTTATCGTAGTCTTGATCAGATATGGCTTAGGAAGGAAATTCATGTGGTAAACACTCAGGGTAACTTAAATTTCTAGAACGTCAAAAGATTTTTTTTTCTAATTATAGCAGCAACAAGAGCAGTTCTCCTTACAGTCCTGCATTTATTTTTTGGGACAAAACTCTGCAATTCAAGTGGCATTGCTACTGGAGCCGCGGTGGCACAGTGGTTAAGAGTGCAGTACTGCAGGCTACTTCTGCTGCCTGCTGGCTGCCTGCAATTTGGCAGTTTGAATCCCACCAGGCTCAAAGTTGACTCAGCCTTCCCTCCTTCCGAGGTGGGTAAAATGAGGACCCAGATTGTTGGGGGCAAGAGGCTGGCTCTGTAAACCGCTTAGGGAGGGCTGTAAAGCGGTATATAAGTCTTAAGCGCTATTGCTATTTTGAATATAAAAACAGGGAGCCACATAAAATAAAACCGCTTCATAGAAATGCCTAACTCCATAGCCCTGTAGTGCAGGTTGGGACATATTCCTCTTAAATCCGGTGCATTTTATCAAGATGTTCATGGTGGCCACGCACTCTCAATCAGTACAGGTAGTCCTCGACTTACGACAATGGAGCCCAAAATGTGCTAAGCTAGTTTTGTGCCATTTTACGACCTTTCTTGCCCCGTTGCTAAGTGAATCGCTGCAATTGTTAAGTTAGTAACCCAGTTGTTAAGTGAATCTGGCTTCCCCCGTGGACTTTGCTTGTCAGAAGGTCGCAAAAGGGGGAATCACATGATTTTGGGACCCAGCGACGGTCATAAATATGAACCGGTTGCCACACCTCTGAATTTTGATCACGTGACCATGGGGATGTTGCCGAAGTCGTAAGTGTGAAAAACGGTCCTCGGTCACTTTTCCCAGTGCCGTTGCAACTTTGAACGGTCCCTAAACCAACCGTTGTAAATCGAGGACTACTTGTACTGGCAACTTTAAGCCGCGCAGACTTCGACTCCCAGAATTCCCCAGCCAACAAGCTCTAAACTGTTAAAAAAAAAAAAAAAAAAAACTTAAGGAAAAACCTTTCAACTTTGGCTGCTTGCGAAGGGCCCGTGTCCAGTTTCAAGACCTCCAAAACAGGCGGTCGAATTTTGGCTGCTCAGGTTGGGAAGATCGCAACCCTACCTGAGGCATTCACCTGTGGAGACCACGAGATTCGTTTTTTCGCTGGCCGTGTTTTATTCGTTTTGTTTCTTTGAAACAGGGGAGCCAATGGTACATAGTTTCCCAAATATGAAAGCAATAAAAACCCCTCCCACCCGACCCCCAATCCAGAAGGCAAAACAAACTGCCAGAAGATTGAGATGCTACATGCTACATTTAACCTAATTAATTTACTCATGCTTATTTGGGGAGGTGAGACAAAAAAAAAAAAGCGTCATTCATAAAAACATACAGTTAAAAACAAAAGGCCTGACCATATAGAACTTTTAACCTACAGTAATGATGTACCTTGTTTCCATGCACACAACTAACATTACAAAAATTGTTTTGTTTGTTTCTTTTTAAAAAAAAAAATAACACAATTAAGACTTCTAGGAGCATTTTGGGATAAAAACAATTCCTAATTCCTTTGGGGGGGGGGGGGGAGAGAGAGAGAGAGAGAGAGAGAGAGAGGGAGGGAGAGAGAGAGAGAGAGACAGAGCACCTCCAGATTGCAAATTCCTATACACGTTTTACTTGAAGGGATTAAATCTCTTTTTAAAAAAAACTCACACGGATCACCTCAAAATAAGGGGATGTTATTTCATCTCTATTTCAGCTATGTAGGCAACAAACCAACAGTGCTAGTTAAGAACTTCATCTGTAAAGCAAGTCCAAAAGAATTCGACTTTCTACCGTTACAGAAAATATAATCTGCTCAAATAAATAAAAACGCTGCATATTAACATTTCCACTATAAAGTATGCATACCAGAATATTTATAAATATTGAATGTTTTCTTTCTTTCTTTCTTTCTTCTTCTTCTCCGTAATACCACCTACTACGATAATGCTGGCTAAATATGATAAGCACTAGGGGTGTTGAATGCTCGCCACATACTGCCGTTACCTTGAGGTAGAACACACATGGGTACCAAATTCTGCATTCATTTACAGGTACTGCTGGTATCATGTGTTGAAGAAATGTGTACAGTATGAAAAATTCTAAAATACATATGAATGGAGGGGGGGGGAAGAAACGTTTTGACGGGGGGAAAAATATAGATTATTTTTCTCATGCAAACTATGAATTGTTTCACGGTGTAGTTTTTTGTTGTTGTTTTTTCCAAGGCAAGATTGCTATTTAAACTCTGCAAAAGACGCGTTGTTCAAAAAGGAGAATGTTTCTACTGGTTTTAGTGCATTTCTTTTCGTTTACTCTTCTAATTTGCATTGTCAAGCTCTTTCTTTCTTTTTTTTTTTTTCTTTTTCTTTTTAATATACCCTTGGTGTGCAAACGACATGCCAGTTTTAAACAAAACATCGTCATGGTTTAAGAAAAAGGAAATTTCGGATCGTTTAAAAACAATGGTAAAACAGGAAAAAACTATCAGGAAATCCAGAGCAAAAGTTACATCATTTGATTTCAAGTAAAAAAAAAAAAGAGACTAATAATAATAATAATAATAATAATAATAATTAAAAAAAGGAACACATTTCGTGAGTACAAAACAAAAGAAAGAAAATGTCTGCTGTTTTTAGTTTAGGTGTTTCAGGATGCTGCTGTAGGTCTTATGGGGAATCTGAGGAGATGACTTCATAGCAGAAGGAGTGAGAGTGGCCTGCAAGGATTTCAGGGGGGGAGCCAACCGGGGTGGAAAACTGGGGAATAGCTATAGCTTCAAGGTGCTTGTTAAAGAGAAATTCTCCGCTATTACTCAGAAAGTTCCCCTCTCTCTCCTTCTCCCCAAGCTTCCCATCTTCGGCTGGCTCAGCTTCTAGCGTCTCGGGCTCTTCCTTCCTGCTAAAGAACCTGTCGAGATAACTGGGGTAGGGGGGGTTCTCCTTCTCCATCTGCTCATCCTTCCTGACCTCGCAACAAAACTGGTCTATGAGAAAGCACTCCTCCCCGCCGCTGACCAGCTGGCCGTCCCACGAGTTTTGGTAGAGGGCCTCCAGCTGGGCCAAGTTAGCCATGCCTTTCTGCTGCTTCTCCCTGCTGACCGATTTAGAGATGCCTTTGGATTCTAGTTGGGAGACGGAGCTATTGAGGTCGTTCAGCTTGTCGACCGCGGCCGACTCGTGCTGCAAGCTCAGCTGAATCGTTCCCGCTATGAAGGAGTCGAAGTCAAAGGCTTGACCCTTCTCCTTTTCTGCAAGCTGCTGGGAAGCCTCCTTGAGAGCTATCTGAGCTTTCACCCATCCGTTCTTCTCACACTTGGACTTGCCTTTCTTATCTGACTTCTCTTTACTCTGCTCCTTCCAGTTAGAAAGATCTATGATCAGCTTGGGCTCATAGTAATGGTTTACTTCGCTTTCCCTCCAGACTAAATTATCTAGGTAGGAGGAGGACCTCATTTTGTAATTACAGGTATGGTTACATTCCAGATCGCAATACTTGTTTTCATGGTGATCTGGGTACTGCCAACAAGGCTCGGTGGAGAAGTGGGTATCGAAAGCCGGATCTTCGAGATACTTTTCGCGGTCGCCGTCCAAATATTTCCGCGGGTCCACTTGTACTTCCTCTTCGTCGGTCCCATCCGAAAGAGCCCTTGGATCTCGCTGAACTTCATCGGCTTCGAAGTTGTTGTGAACGGGCCATTCGTGGTCTGAGAACTGGCTGTCGTGATACCTGTAATAGTGAGCCAACGATAAGCATCCGTTTTACTTTCCGAGTAGCTTCAGAAGGATGATGTATGATGCCCACATTTTTAAGCTTAACAGTTTTACAGTTCATCACCGGCTATGTGCGTTTCTCCCGGTTTTAATGTGGAGAAACTTCTCAGTGATAGCACACAGGTAGTCTTCAAGTTATGACCAGTCACTTAGTGACCATTTGAAATTACGACACACACACACCCAAAAAAAGAAAGCTACTTACTTACTTAAAGAAACCTGATTTCGCTTAATTTTCAGGGTATTGGCTTAACAACCGCCAGAAAAAGTGCTGGGAAATTTGATGCCTTGACTTACAATTGCAACAACTAATGACTATTTCAGGGCTCAATTATGGTCCTAAGTCAAGGACTATCTTTTCATGCAACTTAAGAAAATACTTGGTCTTCAAGACGCCCTGAAATGTTTGCGCCAGATGCGTATTTTAGCAGCATCTAACACCACATGGCATTCTACTACTTTCTTTATCAGCTGGTATTTCAAATACTACTACAAGTGTCCAGAATCATCTTCTTTTAATAATAATCTCTTGTAGGGTGGAGTCTGGGCAACTGAATGGAGCTGAGTGTTTACTGGCTGGATGCCCTTCCTGTTGCTAATGCGGAGTTTTGTTCGGCAGATATATTCTCAGTGTGCCCGGAGAGAGAAATATCTGCCTCTACCTAGGATCGAACTCGCAGCCTCCTGATTGTGAGGAGAGAGCTCCACCTCTAGGCCACCGCACCACCCATTACAAGTGTCCAGAATAATTTCTCAAAAGTTTACCTTTCCCAGTTATAGATGTGGCTGTGACTTTCATCCATCAGCAAAATGTCATCCACTTCATCCTCAATGTGGAAAGGATGACTTGAAATGGGCTCATCAGTTGGGAAGGAATAAATACTCATGTAAGGGTGAGACAAAGCTTCTTCCGCTGTCAATCGGTCCATGGGACTGAAGGTCAGTATTTGTTCCAGGAAGTCTAAAGCTACAGAGGATAAATCCCAAACAGTGTTTTTTTTTTTTTTAAAAAAAATCATTTGAACACAATATGAAGATCTTTTGTTGTATAAAAGAATAACAATATTTTATTATCACGCTGTGTTTCGTATTTCTGAAATTCAGAATAGCAAAAACAATAGCACTTATATACTGCTTCGTAGTATTTTACAGCCCTCTCTAAGCGGTTTATAGAGTCGGCATATTGTCCCCAGCAATCTGGGTCCTCATTTTATTGACCTCAGAAGGATGGAAGACAGAGTCAACCTTGAGCCGGTCAGGATTGAACTGCTGACAGTGGGCAGAGTTAGCTTGCAATACTGCATAGGTAGGTAGGTAGGTAGGTAGAATTGAAATAGCACTTATATACCAGTTCACAATGCTTTATAGCCCTCTCTAAGCAGTTTACAGAGTCAGCCTCTTGCCCCCAACAATCTGGGTCCTCCTTTTATCGACCTCAGAAGGATGGAAGGCTGAGTCAACCTTGAGCCGGACAGGTTTGAACTGCTTACAGTGGGCAGTTAGCTTGCAATACTGTATTTGAAGGAAGGAAGGAAGGAAGGAAGGAAGGAAGGAAGGAAGGAAGGAAGGGAAGAAGAAAGAAAGAAAGAAAGAAAGAAAAAAGAAAGAAAGAAAGAAAGAAAGAAAGAAAGAAAGAAAGAAAGAAAAAATTGAAATAGCACTTATACACAATGCTTTATAGCCCTAAGCAGTTTACAGCGTCTGCCTCTTGCCCCCAACAATCTGGGTCCTCCTTTTATTGACCTCAGAAGGATGGAAGGCTGAGTCAACCTTGAGCCGGACAGGATCGAACTCCTGGCAGTGAGCTGAATTAGCCTGCAAAACTGCATTCTAACCCACTGCGGCACCACAGATTTAATGATTAAAACATAATGCGAACAAGTTGATTAACCCCCCCCCTTTTTTTTTTCCTTTTCTTTTCCTTCTGACGTAGGACACCTTCTCCATTGTGGCATTTGTGTAAGCATCTGTTTGGCTACGTCTCTCATTGCTGTAACTAGTAACGAATATGGTGGAACAGCAGAAAACAAAAAGCACAGATAATAGGGGACTGGCAACGAACCAAACAAACAGTTGTAGGCTTAAAATATCAGACGCGGCGAGTTCCTGAACACCGTAACCTATAACACACTTACGAAAGACTGATTTGCCCGTTGGCTTTCCCCGTTAAAATTATCACCTTGCAGTAGCTGGGCAGAAATGCTTGCAAAAGCTGCCTGCCTTTTTTAAGCCACAGATGTGTAATATAGGATGTGTTGAAAAGCACGGAAAGCTCACTGCCCATTATGATGCAAATGATTCGGCCCTTTATGGAGAACAAGTCAATTCCCTCCGTGTGGGAGTGCTGAATTTCTGCTGTAACTCTTTTGAGTTAACAGCACCAGGAGAGTAATAGATGCATACATACAGTTGGTTCAGTGGTGAAATTCAATTTTTTTTAAAACTACCGGTTCTGTGGGCGTGGCTTGATGGGCGTGGTGTGGCTTGGTGGGTGTGGCAGGGGAAGGATACTGCAAAATCCCCATTCCCACCCCAGTCCAGGGGAAGAATACTGCAAAATCCCCATTCCCGAGCCAGCCAGAGGTGGAATTTGTCGGTTCTCCAAACTACACAAAATTTCCACTATCGGTTCTCCAGAACCTGTCAGAACCTGCTGGATTTCACCCGATTTGGCTCCAGGAAGTTCCAGAACTGGAAAAGAGCGGTAACATGATATGCCCAGAGGTTTGTTCTTTGTTTTAGAGCAGGGGTCTCTAACCTTGGCAACTTTTAAGACTTGTGGACTTCAACTCCCACAATCTGGGAGTTGAAGTCCACAAGTCTTAAAAGTTGCCAAGGTTGGAGACCCCTGTTTTAGAGGGCCTTGTACACTGTGCACCACAACAGTCAAAGTTATCCTGACCATAGGCTCAAAGCCTAATGTAAACAAGGAGGAGTGAAGGAAGACAAAAGAAAAAAGAAAAAAAGAGAGGAGCTGAGTTACCTTCAGGGCTGACGCCTGGGAGTAGCTGAGTTAAAGGTTTGTGTGGCTCAGTCATGTCGTTTTTAATGTAAACTGGGATTACATTAAGAAGTTCCTGCCGGTCTTCCTCATGCACGACGGGAATAGATTCCAAAATCAGCTGCATCTGTTCAAGTTCATGGGCGCCTAGAGAAGCAGTCAAGAAGCAAACGTAAAGTCAACGTATAAGTAAAAAGATTCAATTTATTATACTTCATATTACAACAGCAGCAAGAATTACATTTGCCCAGAATTGGAAACAGGAAAACATGCCATCAAATAAAAAAAAAAGGGCTCGAACATGCAGAAATGGATAAATTAACTATGGAGTTAAAAGATAGAGAGGAAACAAGAGTATTACTAAAGTTGGAATATGTGGTACCACTGGCTAGAAACTAGATGTAAAATTAATGCATAAAGACTATATAGAAAGTATGTTAAATTGAAAATTGTATATGTTTATAAATACGATAAAACATGTTAAAGGGTAAAAGGAATATGTAAGTACATATATATATATTATATTAAATTGATGTTAAAGAACAAAAAATGTAGAATATAGTAAAAGATAGTATGTATTTAAAGGTGTACATAATATACAGAACAATAGGCCATAAACTGGAATTATGAAATTTGAATTGATACCGATAATTGAACGCTGTAAAAATGGAAATATGTTTTTAAAACTAAAAAAGGTTGAATAGACTATTTTTTAAAAAAGATGCAGCAAACATCAGCTGCGTTTGACAATATTACGACTCAAGGCTGCACTCCGTTGAGATTCGGATGATCAATACATTCAGGGTGGATAAAAATCGGTGATTTTTTTAAAAAAAATTAAAAATATTCGGATTTTTTTTAGTTAAATCAGATTTGATTTAAATCGGATTTTTTAAAATCAAATTTATTTTAATAAAATGCTTTTGGAGTAAAAAATAGTTTTCTATTTAAGATACATTCATAATTTAGTTTATTCAGCAGGAAACGGAGCTTAGTTATGTAGCATGAGGCTGCATATTCTGCAATATTGGGATTGTCGGTGAGTCAAAAGCGGGTCAGAGGAGGAACCGCTGAAGGGACAGAGATGACAGTTGCTCTTTAAAAATTATGATTTAAATCGAGTTGATTTAAATCAAGCCTTTTTACTAATGATGCAAATTCATGATGTAAATCAACTTGATTTAAATCAAATCCACCCGGAATTCATTTAAGTAAATGTGAACTAAATAGGACAGTATTCAGGGATTCCTTATCATGCCACCCTCAGCGGATACCGCTGCCCCCTGGAGCTTTCCCGTAGCCGGGATGTCGCTATCCACACCCATCTCTTTGAGGAAAAAGGGGCCCCCATGGCATCTGCCATTGCATTTTTAAGATGCAGGATTGTACCTGCTTGTCTTTACCAACCTGCGAAGAGAGTTTTGCCTGTCAGCATTTCAGCAAAGATGCAACCTGCAGCCCACATATCAATGGCTTTCGTGTAGTTGTTGGGCGACAGCAAGAGGCGAGGTGATCTGTACCATTTAGTTACTAGTCCTTCAGAAAGATGGCCCTAGAAGAGAGAAAAGGGGAGGGGGGAAGAGAGAGACTGTGTTTGCTTTTGATTTGTGCCACCTCCGTTCGGCCTTCCTTCAAGCTCATCCTGCAATTTATTCTGCTGCGTTGCCACAAATATTTGAGAGAGATGTGGCGGTCTTTCAAGTCTCCATGAGTTGTGCGGGCTTTGGGGAATGGGCCCGAGCCTAAGTCCACTCCAATACCAAGCCTCTATTCTGACTCAGTTTAGCCCGTGTTTATAGGGTACACATTTAATCAAGAGAGAGCCGTATCCCTATACACCCCAAATGCTTTAGCCTGTTTTAGGAATGACAAACATATAACCGAGAACCAATTATTTCATGGTATTCCTAGAAACAGACAGGGGACAATCCTACGTGTCAATTTTCAAAGTCTTCAGGAATATCGAAGTCTATAGCAAAACTCCAAAATGGCCACTCTATTTCCTGCAGAAGGGATTGGTTTTATGGTGCTTTTATAGATAATAATTCCAGCTAGACTTTTAAAACTATAGAACATTGTTCTGTAAGGGAACAGGGGCTATTAGACAACTCTTGTGGAGCAAGATTCATAAATCAATCAAACATCAGAACTGAAGCTGTCTTTTCCAAGACTATCAAGGGCGGCCCTCCTTAACACATCCCCAAGTGTTAGACTTGATGGCTGTTTTTTTTTCACACCAACGGTTAAAACCATCTCCAACAAATGCCGGAAAGAGATGGTACGTATCTAACCGCGTTAAAATAAAGGAGTTAAACAGGTTGACTGAAGGACAAGATTTCGCACACCGCTTTTATTAAAAGGTGAAGAATCTGGCTAAGGCTGGCATGCGATCTTAGCAAGATTCCAACACTCAAAGCGTGGGAGTGATTAACTTATGGAGAACCTGGCCAGATATTAAGCATATCCTGCAATCAACTGGCCTCCAAATTTGACCGCCTTCCGTCTGTCCATCCCTCCTCCTGCCCCGCATTTTAAAGGAAAACAGCTGCTCGTTTTTTTTACTGACCTTATGAGAATAATGAGGATCCATGATCCGGGCCAGGCCAAAGTCCCCGATTTTCAGCACCAAATCTTCAGTATTAATAAAGAGGTTTGCTGGTTTGAGATCTCTATGCAGGACGTTTGCCGAGTGGATGTATTTGAGCCCGCGTAGCAGCTGGTACATGAAGAGTCTGGCATGTTCTTCCAGTAAGGGGCCCTGCTCAACCAGGTTCGCCAGATCGGTCTCCATGTACTCTTGGACAATGTAAACACAGTTCAGTTCCGTCAGAGAGCCGACGTCATCCGTCAGCTGGCTCCCGTTGGGGCCGAGGATCTCAAAAACTTTGACAATGTTATCGTGGTCGAGTCTCCGGATGATTTTGATCTCGCGCAGAGCGTGCTTGACGCTTTGGGGGTCGGAAAGGAGGATCTTCTTGACCGCCACTCTCTTGTCGCAATCGTTGTCGACAGCGGAAAAAACCAAGCCGTTGCCACCGGAGCCCAGAGGTTTTAAGTCCATGTACCGAGAACCTACATCGAAGCCATGAATGTTCATCAGACTTTCGAACTTCTCTGCCATTTTTCTTTTTAAAAAAAAAAAAAAAAAATTTTTTTTGTTTGTTTTCCTGTATCCTGTTTTCTCCCTCTTAAAAACTATTCCCGCTTCTACGAATCTAGAGAGATGCTTCCACTGGTAGGTTGCGATGGTCTCGTAGAAAAGACGAACGCCGGGTTGACTGGTGGGTAGCTTCTTGATGCTCTCATTGCATGGTCAAGCCAGCCGGGCCTGATGTTTCCCCACTTTTTAGGATAAGCACTTAAGACTCTTTACAGATCACGGCGAGGAGAGAGAGAGAGAAAGAGGTCGCAGCATTCATAGTTCAACGAAAGGTGCAGCACATCCGCAGACATGGAATGGAAACCCCAGGTAAAATCAAACGGAATGAAGTGGCATTTTAGGCGCCCTTCACTCTACTGTGCCAAACTGATCGACGTTTTAACAAAAATGTGAATAAATAGGCATGTAATAGGCTTGTCTTAACATCCTCCTCACAGTGCAGATACATTCAGTGTTGGACTGGTCCTGAGCAGCTTCATTCTAGGGTGGATGGTTTTGCTTGTCTCGTGTTTTACAATCTAGTTCGCTAAGAGGAAGAGGCAGCTCTTTCTGGGTAGCAAGGAGGCTGTTAGTTAATGATCAGGTGGCTCCAGCTCACCACAATCACAATCAAAGCTACCATCCATCTTATTCTGTGAAAAACTGAAGAAGAAAAAAAGGGGGGGGGAGAGAAAAGAAGCCACACATAAGCAACCCAAATCATTAGACAGGCTTAAAATTTAAATTGCATAGGGCCGTGATGGCGAACCTATGGCACGCGTGCCACAGGTGGCACGTGGAGCCATATCTGTGGGCACGTGAGCGTTGCCCTAGCTCAGCTCCAGTGCGCATGCGCGCAATGGCCATCTGATTTTCGGGCCTTCCGGTCCCACTGGCAGTCAGAAAGCGGGCCGTTTCTGGCCTCCAGAGGGCCTCTGGGGAAGGCTGTTTTCGCCCTCCCCAGGCTCCAAAAAAGCCTCTGGAGCCTGGGGAGGGCGAAAAAACGGGGCCTACCTGGCCCACCATGCCATCGCATGTCAAAAGCAGGAGGAGTGGGGGGGGGGTGTCATGTGCGCATGCATAGGGGGCAGGGCGCATTGAATTATGGCTGTGGGCATGACCCCCCTGCACCCATCCACCCCCCGCTTTTGGCACGCGACGGCAAAAAGTTTAGCCATCACTGGCATAGGGGGTTTCACTACAAACTAAACTTTTTTTTAAAAAAAAATTGCACACACACACAGAACTAGGCATTAGGAACCCTTTGATCTGCTGGATAGACCGGATCCATCACTGATCTCATTCCAACCCAGAAGATTCTATCTCATTATGTGCTTTACATGGATAGGAGCTTCTATAAAAAGGCACAAAGGCAAAACAAATTCTCGCCTGTATAAGTAAATATAGCGTCCATCCATCGGGGAAACATTTTGTACTTCTCTGTACTTTTTTTTTCCCAAAAAGGTGAAACTTTTAAAGAAATCGTTTCACTACTTGAGACGAGTCGCTATGTTAAGTACTTTCATACTTTTTTTAAAATAAAATATGGGGATACTTCCTATTAAAAAAAAGTGAAGAAACCGGTTGTAAAAAGCAAAAGATGAAGCACATTTTACAAATGTGAATCTGAAATAACTGAATTTGCCAATCAGTCCTGCATAGGACCTTCTGCGTCCCTAATCGACATGCATTCGTGCTGCCCTGGGGTGAAAACAGAATTAGAAATCAAGATATTCTGCACGCCTAGCTCATTCCAGGAAATACATACTCCTCAATAATAATGTGATTTTTAGATAAAGTGGAAGGTAGCACAGAGACTATATAAAGTAATCACAATACAGGATGTTTTTTTGCAGAGAGCAAATCTAGAAATATTGTGGTAGAGACCAAGAACTCCGATTATTTCTATGTAGATCTTAGTTTTTAAAAAAATTGTCAGTAGTGGATCATACTCAACTGAATGGAATGTTAAAAATCCGTAAGCTATTTTCTAGCACAACGAAAGCAACCCTTTTGTGGATCTCCATATACCAGCTACACCTCTTGGTTTCCAGGGGCTCCTGCACCAACAGTTCAGTTTCACAGATTATGACTTCACCTGATGATGAAGTCACTTTCTATGGAGATGGCATTATTTTGGAAAGTCTTCCTGTTACATTACGGTGCTATCTTTTTCTGAATAGTTTTTATCCCAGAGCTATAATTGCACTCAACAATGAACCAAAGGGCCACCATCGGTGAGCATTACTTGGTCTGTTGTGTGGATGTTTGGGTGGTTTAGGGGTGGGGAATCTGTGGTGGGTAGGGGTGTATTGGGGGATTGTTATGTGTGTTGGACCTGGTCTTTGGGTGTTAAGTGAATTTCATTGTATGGGTATACGGTGTATATACCTACAATGACAATAAAGTTATTATTATATCTTGTTCGCGTCTATTCCCTTTTCACTTCAAGAACTTCCAGCTTCCATATTTGGCTGCAGGCACCAACTGTGTGTTTCTGAAATGCGGCTGAGGTTTTTAACAGGAAGAAAAGGCTTATTGCGAGAGAGAGAGAGAGGGAGGGAGAGAGGGAGGGAGAGAGAAAGGGAAAGGGGGAGAGAGAGGGGAGAGAGAGAGGGGAGAGGGGAGAGAAAGGGAGGGAGGGAGAGACGGAGAGGGGAGAGAGAGAGAGGGAAGGCGGGAGAGAGAGGGGGAGAGAGAGGGAGGGAGAGAGAGAGGGAAAGGGGGAGAGAGAGGGGAGAGAGAAGGGGAGAGAGAGAGGGAGAGGGGAGAGAGGGAGGGGGGAGAGAGAGAGGGAGGGAGAGATGGAGAGGGGAGAGAGAGAGAGGGGGAGAGAGGGAGGGAGAGAGGGAGGGAAAGGGGGAGAGAGAGGGGAGAGAGAGGAAGGGAGGGAGAGAGGGAGAGAGGAGAGAGGGAAGGAGGGAGAAGGGGAGAGAGAGAGGGAGAGAGAGAGAGAGAGCAGATGAAAAGGAACGGGAGAAAAGGGTGCGTGGGTATAGGGGAGCTTGTTGCTGAACCACTAGCTTAAAAACGAATATATATGGAGGCCAGAAAAACAACCGTCTCTACAAGAAGCTCGTACTTGGCAGCATGAAAACCGAATCGACAGTCACGGCAAATGAATAAGCTGCCTGTTAGATGTAAAGGGAAACTGTTAACTGTTCTTTGATAAATCAAATAAAAGATAGGCCTTTTAAATAACGCGCGTGGCCTTTTATTGCTAACTATGTGGATTGTTTACTCAAAGGATAAAAAAAAAACCACCAGCCCGGTTGGCATTTTCATTATCTCCTACAACTCGAACTTCGGTTTGAAACGATCTTCCAGTGAAACCACAAGTTCTTGCTGCGAATTAACTCACAAAACGGGCCTAGCAAAAACTTGAGCTTTTTTTTTTGACTGAAGATGACAGGGCACGGAGTTAAAACTTTCCCTCTGAGTCAGTCCCTCCTGCGTATTTCACAGCAAGAACGAACACCATTAAATAAATGTGGCTCATTAACTCTTTTTTCTTCCCCCAAGTCATACTCTGACCGCACTATATATTAAGCAAGCAAGGAAACAAACAAACAAAAGCTTTTAACATAGCTTTCTACCTGGAAGAAGCTACTCAAACTTAACCCAGAGCTTATGACATCATGAGTCATGAAGGCTTCAAACTCTCAAATTCTAGGAACAGCCCTACCCAACTTTAAAACTGACTGGAACAAAACCTCCTGAAATAAAAAAAAAGCATGAGTAACGTTTGTCCTTTGCTATTCTCACCTCTTTCAGACTTACAATAAAACCTCCGAGAAAGGCCAAAGAGGGAGCTCATGGCAAATGCCTGAAGTCAAACCAAGTCAGCTGGGATTTTCTTGGGCCTTACCTTTGTTTGCTCAACCCACACGTGGCTGACCCTCCACAAAACTTCTTGGGAGTTGTTGTGTTATCATACAGCACAACTACCCTTCAAGAACAAACAATATCACAAAGATGTCCATGACTTATGGCAGAGGCCATAATGGATCTCTCTCTCTAACACACACACACACACACACACAAATCTTTAGAATATTTGCAGTCTTTCATTTGTAGTTCTGCTGTTTTAAAAATGTAGGGGGGGGGAAAGCAATTATGACAACTTTATGACCTGTGGACCAACTCCCAGAATTCCTGAGCCAGCTGTGCACAAGTCCACAAGTCAGACAGTTTTTTTTTAATTTTATTAGCAGCCCAAAAATACATCCATTCCACTAAAGAATAACTAGCCACGTCCATGGTGGTGTTGTGCAGCTTTATTTTTTGCTCTGGATACAGATTTCCATGCCAGGCACAAAGCGCGCGCGCGCACACAAAGCTTTAAAGAGTTCAGCATTCTTTACAACACGGACTTACCCCATGAATAGACCTTAATTTCCCTGCCCACTTTTGCTGGGAAATATTATTACCTGAAGCTGACCCTTTCCACACACTGTAGGGAAGGCAGGCTGGCGAATACAGGTGGTCCTCGACTTAACAACAGTTCGTTTAGTGACCGTTCAAAGTTACGACGGCCCTGGAAAAAAGTGACTTGCAGCCATTTTTCAGAGTTATGCCCCAGGATCACGTGATCAAAAATCCAGATGCTTGGCAACTGGTTCATACTTATGATGACCACTGCTTCGTCCCAGGGCCGCCTGATTCCCTTTTTCCACCTTCTGACCAGCAAAGTCCACGGGGAAGCCAGATTCACTTAACAACCGGGTGACTCGCTTATCAACCACAGGGATTCCCTGAACCACTGCGGCAAAGAAAGGTTGTAAAATGGGGCGAAACTCACTTTAACGGACGTCCCACTGAACAGCAATCGTGGTCCTAAGTTGAGGATTGCCCTGCATTAAGGTTTATTTTATTTAGGAAATTTAGAAAGGACGAAAAGCTTCTTGCATGATTAGCTTTTCATAAACTTATTAGATAATCAGGCAATTTCTTGCTGGAAGGAATTGGTAAGGGGAAAAAAAAAACTGTTATACAACCTGATAAAAAACCCATACCCCATCTGTGTAACACGGTGAGGGTGCTTATGTGGATTTTTTTTTTTTTGAAAAAAATACCAGCCACGTTGCAAGCAATAGGCAGTGAGTCATTGTAAGGACTCCTGAAACTGCAAGCGTTTCTCAACCTCCCACTTAATCCCCACACATTCTGAAGGCCAAGCTATTGTTAATTTACACATGCTCCCTGATTAAAAGTCATTAAATACTTTACTTTTCCCATTGTAAGCAAAAGAGGATGTATCCTCAGATTTCAAGCTCTTGAAGAAAGAGATGGGGGGGGTGATCTCTGCCTGGTTTGCTTCCAAATAAACTTTTACTTTATAAACTGTGAATAGCTGGGACAAGTTTTCCACTCTTTCAGAAAGCTATGCCGACCACACAAAAAATAATAATAAACAAAAATAGAGTAGCAGAATGTAACAAACTATAACTAAACTGAATTTCTTTGCTGTGAGGGTAGGCTACTCTAGAAATTAATAGACATTTTGGTGAGAATTTCTTGGGCTGAAATAAACCAGAGCCGAGACTGATTTTAGTCTTGAGAAAGTACTGTGTTCACACAGCTTGCTAAACCAAGGTTTAGCGAATTAACAGGTTCTGTTGTAGAAGATGCCAACCTAAGAAATAAACAATAACTAAGCCACCTATTAATCCACCTAACCTAAGATGCTGGATGACCCCAAAACATTTTTACTGTCGTAGTTCAGCTTTCCTATTTAAGTGTGGCCAGTCTGATGTAGTAAGTTAAGTTACCAGGTTTGGACCAGGGAAGCTGGGAGTTCTAGTCCTGCCTTGGGCATGAAGCTAGCTGGGAGACTTTGGGCCAGTCGCTTTATCTCAGCCCCTAGGAAGGAGGAAATGGCAAACCGCTTCTGTAAAACAATACCAAGAAAACTGCAAGACTAACCCAAGGCAGTTACACCAGGAAACAAACACCACCTTAAAACTAGCGTACTGTTTTAACTGTGCCTATCTTTCCAAAATGAATGAATGGCCATTTTAGAACAACCAACTTATTCATTGATTTATTCAAATATCCCAGTCACGCATAAATCCCACTCGGTCTCTGGAGAGAGTCGTAACCAAGAATGATAGCTATTCTGTAGAGAGGATCATAAATGTCAGAACAGAGTTTTCCTTCTACAGGAGAATCTTGAGTTTAGAAGGATCTGACCCCTATCTTGGTGGGTACCCTTTGCAGTGGGGTGGGAAAAAACACTACGTAAGACTCATATTGTCTTACACTTTCTTAAGCACTTTAAGAGAAGATGAATTCAAATATTCAGTTATCTATCCACCCTTACTCAGGAGACACTCACCCCGGCTTTAACCTGCTTCTCCCTCCTTGCCAGGTGCATCGGTGTTCTGAAAGGGTTACCCACAGCAAAGACCACCCCCCTCTATTAGCGGGGTTGCTCTCTAATTGGGAGGGTTGCAAGAGGAAGCGGGGTCCTTTTCAAAACCCAGCTGCCTCTTTTAAACCCAAAGCGGTTCCTATCATCCAGTGGTTCTCAACCTGTGGGTCGGGACCCTTTTGGGGGTCGAATGATCACAGGGGTCGCCTAAGACCATCGGAAAACACATATTTTCAATGGTTTTAGGAATAATTTTATGGTTGGGGGTCACCACAACATGAGGAACTATATTAAAGGGTTGCCGGCATTAGGAAGGTTGAGAACCACTGCTATAATCCCACCAAGGCCTAAGAACGCAAGGGGGGGGGGGGGGGGGGGGTTTGTTTGTTTTTTTAAAATTTTTAATCTGCAGAGAGCAATACCAGCAACATCAAGGAGGAAAGCGAGATCTAATTAGCCAGCGACTTAAAAACTCCCCACTGGATCCTTCTGTAACTTGACACAGATTCCCCCCCACCCAAAACCTGGTGGCAGCTGCTGCGGCGGCCAAGGAGGCCCAGCAATGAATGAAGTCTGTCCCAAAAAGCAAAGGGGGTGGGGGGGGGGGGAAAGCTGCCAATGCCGCAGTCTTGGCTGGCCAGGAAGGGGGTTGGTGGGTGGGTGGGTAAGGGGGTGGCAGGAACCGCCAAGAGACTTTTCGCCAAGGACGTGTCACATCTGCCACCCCGACGCCAACATCTGCCGGGAGGACACCCCCACCACACTCTCCAGGCAAAGAGGCAAGGAGACACCCCCTCCCCACTTTATTTACTGAATTGAATGTATTGATTTGATTGCCCTTCTCACTTGGAAGCTGGAGCTTTCCTGGGGGGGAGAGAGAACTGTGTCTTTCCCCCCAAAAGCCCACCCCTCTTTCTTGATTGAAGCCCCTTCCTCTCCAATGGCTCAGGCCCAGATCTTAAGAAGAAGGGGGGGGGATAGATGGGGGTGTCCCTTCCAGGCTGATCCTGGCCTTTTGATGGCCACTTTGGCCAAGGAACAAGAATGGGCAAAGCAGCAAAAAAAAAAGAAAAGAAAAAAAAGGGGGGGGGGGAGAAAGCATAGCTCTTTCTTTGAGTTGGGGGGGGTCAACCCCAAATATCCCCCCACCACCACTTTAAATTAAACCCCTTCGCACCTCTGTTTCCCACGTTTGTTTTGGGGGTGGTGGGGGGGGGTTTGAATTCGGGAACCCAACACGTGGCGTCACAGCGTGTTCCCGGAATCGCAGTTCTGCCCCCCCTCCCCACAACAACCCCCCCCCACCCCAAGACCGCCTTCACACGACCGCAAAGCAGCCAACGCGTGTTTCCCCCCCCCCCCCCGAGTCGTGGGAAGGCGGGCAAGGGAGGGGGGGCGAGTTCCAGGGAGAGCGGAGAGACCCCGGCGGGACACCCAAGGGAGTCGTCGTGGCCCGGGAAGGAAGGAAGGAAGGTCCGTCCGTTCTTCTTCCAGCACCGTCCCCGCCCGCCCGCCCGTCTCCGCCGCACTGCGGAAGGCTGGCTCGGCCGGTCTTCCCGGCGCCTCGGGCCCGGCGGGGCGCGCGAGAACAAAGCGCCTTTGTGCAGCGGCGGCGGCGGGGAGGGAAGGCAGGGAAGGCGCCCGCTCGCTCGCCCGCCCGCCCGCCGCGACGCCCACACGCCCGCCTCGACTCACGGGGCAGCCCAGGCTCATGAGGACGAAGAGCAGGAGGAGAGGACGAACCGGCGACGCGCCACACGCCGCTCACGGCACCGCCGCCGCCGCTACCGGTTCAGCAGCTGCCGGGCCCCGCCAGGAGGATCGTCTCTCTGCTCGGCGGAAGCGGCGCGGCTCCTTCGGCGGCTCCGGCCATCTAACCCGGCGGAGAGGGCGAGGGAAAAGGGGGAGGCGGGGCGAGGGGCGGGGCCGGCGGAAGGGAACGCCCACCCCACCACCACCACCGCCGCCGCTACCACCCCCGAGGGAGGGAGGGAGGGAGGGAGGGAAGGAGGCCACGCCCGTCTTGTTTTTTCCCCTCCCATCCCTCGCGCCTCCTCCTCCCACCCACCCCTTCCTGGCCCGCGCGCGCTACGTGGCGGTTGGGCGCGAGGCGGGTCGAACAGGGAGCGCGGGAGGGGGGGGGAGTGAGGTGGGGGGGGAGTGAGGAAAAAGGGAGATGAGCGAGCCATCCCGCGCAGGCGCAGCGCGCCAGGAGAGGAAGAAGAAGAAGGAAATAATGTTTAAATAATGTTTAAAATAGCCTGAAATACACACGCGTAGATCTATAATGTGTACATGTATGGTATATGGAGAGAGAGAGAGATGAGAGACAGAGAGAGAGGTAGAGATGATAGATAAAGAGAGGTAGAGAGAGGTAGAGAGAGACAGATGAGAGAGATGATATGAGAGATAGAGATAAAGAGATGAGAGAGAGAGAGATGATAGATAAATAAGAGAGAGAGAGTTGAGAGAGGGATAGAGACAGATGAGAGAGAGGTAGAGAAAATGAGAGAGATGATAAGAGAGATGAGAGATAGAGAGAGAGAGATGAGAGAGAGAGGTAGATAGAGATGAAAGAGTTAGAGAGAGATAATAGAGAGAGAGGGAGAGAGAGAGAGATGAGAGATTTATTTATTATTTATTATTAAAATTTATATGCCGCCCTTCTCCCGGAGGACTCGGGGCGGCTCACAACCATCAAGTAAAGTAAAAACAATAACAATAACAATAAATAAAGTTAAAAAATAAAATTAAAATCCACAATTAATTTAAAAATTCCCAAACAGATCAGACAATTTGTTTAAAAAGCCATGTCTTCAGGTCTTTGCAGAAAGAACAGAGGTCAGGGGCTGTCCGGAACCCAGTGGGTAGATGATAGAGAAATAAGGATAGATAGATGAGATGTAGAGAGAGAGAGAGATAGGGATACATAGATGAGAGAGAGAGAGATGATAGATAGATAGATAGATAGATAGATAGATAGATAGATAGATAGATATAGATAGATGATAGATAGATAGATAGATAGATAGATGATAGATAGATAGATAGATAGATAGATAGATAGATAGATAGATGATAGATAGATAGAGGTAAGTAGGTAGAGAGATTATAGAGAGATAGAGGTAGATCGATAGAGGTAGATAGGTAGAGATGATAGAGGTAGGTAGGTATACATATAGAGGTAGATAGAGATGATAGAGGTAGATAGATATAGAGGTAGATGTAGATACGTGCATATATAATATATATGTGTGTCTGTATATATTTATATGTGTATATCAAGTACCCTGTGACAGACACACACACATATGTACACAAACACATGTATGTGCTTATAGCATATATAAGCACATGCATGTGCATATAATGTATATAATTCCATAAGATAAAATAGCCCATAACACACACACATATGTACACATACATATATGTGTATGGACGTGCACATATAGATAAATACTCCTTAAAAACTCATAAATGCCCAGTTTTGGCACCTAGTACCCACAAGTTTCTCTATCCTTCTGCAAGATCTCTTGAGTGCTGAATGAATGAATATGGAATGTGTTAGTGTGCTTACACTTCAAGAAGATTGTTCAAAAAAGTACCTTGTACAATTTGTGTATGTGGAGGTGTATACTAGATTTCTAATATTTCCATAAATGTAGAAGATACACTCAGCCGATAGGGCTGTATTTATTTATGTGTATGTATTTGTATATCTTGATATATCTGCCTCTCCCCCTCTCCCTCTCCCTCTCCCTCTCTCTCTCTCTCTCTCTCTCTCTCTCTCTCTCTCTCTCTCTCTCTCTCTCTCCCCCCCCCTCCAGCTTGGAGAAAGCTGGACCAAATTGTGCAAAACGTTACTCCACGCTGTTCAGTTGGATTTCCTTATTTATTAGACTTCTTGTCTGGTTGGTAACTACAATTCCTTGGGTGGTGCATCAGATCAGTGCACCTGGCTGCCAGGGTGGCATTTATTTCTGCGTAAACAAGTTTACGATTGCGGGGTGCAGCTCTCATCTTCACCGCACCTTTGCCATTCATAATCCTACCCGCTGTTGCCCAGTGACTCAAAAACCGGCTGCATTTAGCCAGGCTTATTGGGGTTAGCGCAAATAGGGCTGTAATCTAAAGAAATCTTTTAAACAAACCCTCGTGTCTGAAAGAACTGCAGGTATCCTCTCCTCTTGTTTTATTTTTCTCCTTTATTCTGCTTTTCTTTCTCTCCCTGTTTTTACAAATGGCACCTCTTGAGAGCTGTTGGATGGTACTCCAGATAGAAAATGGGTGCAATGCAATCTTTCACACGGTTTTAATTCAGTTTTCTGTGTGATTCCATGATAATGCTGCGTCACTCATGGAGGAGGAAAAAAAAGTCACTTGGAAGGACAGGACATGCTTTGCGTGCAAGTCCAAGGTTTAACTGTTTTGTTAAACATGAACTATTTTGACTGAGCTGGAAAAACTCCAGGTTGAAACAGAACAATTGCCAGGTGAGGTAGAAAAACAGCTCCTGATCTCCCTGAGGTGATGATCTTGCTGGTACTAGGTGCCAAAACAGGGTATTTATGAGTTTTTATCTTTTCTAACCATCCCCTGCTCCCAAACAAGAGTTAAACTTCATGTGGGGTCATATTATGCAACCAACCCAACCTTGTATCACCTATTAAGCCAAACCTAAATATAACCACAACATTAAATATAAAGAAGGCTAAACTAATGACAACAGGTAGAACAACCCACCTTAAAACTGACAGTGGGTATCTTCTGCCTTTTAGCATCAGCCATCAACAGTACAGGAAGAAGCAGTCAAGAAATACACCACAGACCAGCACTTGATAAAACAGCCATAAAGATCTTGGAAAAGATAGTCAGGTGCCACGATGTGTCTTTATTACAGAGATAAGAAGCTGGCAAGCCATGTCCCAAAGGTTCTAAGACGCTGAGCTTGTCGATCACAAAGGTTGGCAGTTCGGCGGTTTGAATCCCTAGTACAGGTCTCCTGCGTGAGCAGGATGACCTCCAAGGTCCCTTCCAACTTTGTTATTGTTATTGTTCCTTTTTCAAAAGGCAACTGGACTTTCCTTGTTTTTCCTTGAAGACATTCCACTTCTCATCCAAGAAGCTTCTTGGGTTCTGTTCAATTCTGAAGGAGCTTCTTGGATGAGAAGCAAAACATCTTCAAGGAAAAAACAAACAAACCATGACCTGGATGATTGAGAATCTCCATAGACAAACCATGGTGTTCTCTGTGATACTGTATGGAAATGAAAGCTGGATTTTGAAGAAGCAAGATAAGAGCATGGATGGCTTTGAACTTTTAGTGTTGGAAAAGAATACATGAGACTACATGAACAACTGAGGAAACAAACTAATGGATCTTCAAAGAAATCAATCTAGAGTTCTTACTCAACGCATGAATGACCATATATTTTCCTACATACCATGGAAAGACCTAGTTCTTTGGATAAGGCTCTAATGCTGGGAAAGTTAGAAGGAAAGAGAAGATGATGACCAGTAGCAATGTCGTATAGACTCAGTTGCCGTAGCAGTGAGTGATATTGATGGAAGAACTGAAGGACGATCGTGGAGAAAATCTAACTATTTGATCGTCAAACGTCGTTGTTGTTGTTATTATTGTGCTAAAACATTTGTTATCTAATCAAGGACGGTCATAACGCTTTTGGGAAACATCAAATCAAGAGCAGCGAAGGCAGGCTTTACAACCAATGACAGTTCCAATCCATTAAAATCAAAGCTTCGGGTCAGGGAACAGAAATGAAACAATCCAATACCTGGCAAGGCCAAATTAAATTGGCACAAAAAGATCTCTCTGGATATTAATAGAACCACATCAGGGAAGGGACCAGACAGATGTTCCAAAGCAGGTGATTTCATAATTTTAACCAATCACAGAGAAAGTCATCTTATTCCGTCCTGCTGGCTAAACTTCAGACCACGGAATACAAAAGAAAATCCATGAATTTCAGAGGTCGTATACACAGTTTGTGTTAAACTACAGTTTTCTCACCTTGATTGGTTAATTAAACCACGGTTGTCCATGTCCACAAATTAGATTTGTCACAAACATGGTTTATGATAAGATATGATAAGATAGGCATTATACAACACACTAAGCCAGGAGTCAGCAACCTGCGGCTCTGGAGCCGCATGTGGCTCTTTCATCCCTCTGCTGCGGCTCCCTGTTGCCGTTCGGCACCACAATTTTGAGAGGAGCTTCCAGTTGGGGGGAGGGGGGGAAGCAGGGCATGCCAGGAAGAGACTCTATGGCAAGGGGTGGATTTTCAGGTCAGCCCACAATTGATAGGGTTAGGACTGTTAGAGGAAAAAGGACGCCACGCTAGGAGGAGACTCTATGGTGGGGGAACCGGACTTCCAGTCAGCTCCAGAATTGAGTGGGGGGCTTCCGGTTAGGACCTTTGTGGCTCTTTGAATGTTTAAGGTTGCCGACCCTGCACTAAGCTCACACTAATAAATAAACAACAATAGTTGAGGGCAGCGTTTTCCAACTTCACCAACTTTAAACGTGTGGACCTCGACTCCCAAAATTGGTACTGGGGAATCCTGGGAGTTGAAGTCCACGCATATTACAGTTACAAACGATGCTTGAAAAATACTGCAGTAGGTCATCCTGCATTACTCACAACAGCTGAAATCACCTCATCTGGGATAATCTGGATGAAAGGAAATTAGAAGCCAACCGATAAAGAGGCAAACCATTTCGTCATAAAAACAGTTAGTTCTCCATGCCACCAATCCGATTGAAAAAGGCAGGAAAAACAACTGCACCGAATGCTGGATGTGTTATCAATCAATCAGTTGGCTCAGCATTTTGGGCTGGAT